CAGTATTATAATGAACCCCTTAATCACAGAGAGTAGATAATGATTGACAGAGTGTTTGACAGCATGAGCACTCTCTGAAGAACAGTAATAGACTTCTAAGAGAGTAGAGTTTGTTTCTATTTTGAAGGAAGCGTGAGACAAAAAACAAGGAGGTAGTCAAGCCTTTTCAAGAACAGAGGTTTATTGTATTTCAAATTAGTAATGTCTCCGACTCAGTCACTCCCATTGTGGTAAATATCTGTGCCTACTTTCATCCTATTGGGAATAAAGTTGCCCATTTCTGGCTTTATCATAACTAACATATGACTCATTCTGTTTTTGAAATCATGTTTTGACTTCCTGTAGAGTAGCAGTATGATAATGATGGCCAAAGGTATTCATAGTGAGGAGCTGCATTTGATATCAAGATAAGACAGATAGTTTTGGATTTGATTTTATTCTTTCTTTTACAATTTATGGGGGCTTTTATTGCTTTTAATTGATAGTGACAGCTCGAGAGTGGCAGGGTAGAGGAGAGGGAGTGAGGGGGATGACATGCAGCCAAGGGCCACAGGCTGGAGTAAAAATCCATGGCCGCTGTGCCAAGGACTCTGCTCTGGATGTCTCCAACTACTACTAACGTTTTAGCCCACTGAATGAGTCACACACATATTTACGTCTTTATATGAACAATGGTTCAGATGACTACGAGTCAGTCAAGCCAGTCAAGGCAAGAATTATCACCTGACACTGCAGGTCCCCTCAGCTCCGTGGATGATTTTACTGTCTTTCAGGTCATTGTTTTAGTTTTAAAGCCCCCAATTTTACTGTTTACAGCCCTGTTTCCAGATGTTGACATCAGCAACTAGCTGGTGAACATAGTGCAGCAACAAGAGCCTGATTTTTCCTTCAGGAGTTCATGAAGAGCTAAATATTAACCAGGTGGCCAAAAAACTCTTAAAACCTAAAATAAATGCTAATGTTGCTCCTTGTCTAAGAAGGCAACTATTTGCTAACACTTTTATCGAATTTGTATGTCACTGCTGTGTTTACAGGTTGTTTTGCTGCCCCCAAGTGGCCAAAAAAATAAACAAATGCAGGTTTAAGGAATTTCGGTCCTATACTCAAGGTCAGAGGTTCATGTTCAGACATGAAGAGAGCTTGATGAAGTGTCCTCAGTGAGAAACTCTGCTTGTTTGACCCACTTGACTGTAAGATGTCTGTGGTGACAGGAGGTCAGATAAATACTAGCGATAGTGATATTCTATTCACACTCAGGCTGATGATTTACTTCCTTCCAGCCTAAATGGTCCTCATCAGTCTTACCTGTCTGACTAATTGCCCTCTCCCATGACTTGGAGACTATTCTTCACTTCTTGGCTCAACAGAGGACCTTTTTAGACAAACAGTCAATTTTGACAAGCGCAGACAAACGGTGTCTTGGAATCAATACATGGGTTGAACTATGACGTCAATTAGCTTTCATCTTTTTTCATCACCAATACATAAACAAACTTCTGTTAGCACCATGAACTGTTTTATTTGAAGTGAAAAGAGGTTGCTGAGTGCAGTGAAATGTCAGGCTGCGCCAAATTTATCTTCTGTATCCCCAACCCAAAGCACTTCTTCACATCCATGAAGATGCTGAGTTTTGAATATTCAACAAACTTAAATTATCAAAGTGCATTACCTCGCCCTCATTTCTTTTTTTCTCTCTGCTGTAAGTCACACTGTACCACCCACACATTTCCGCTCGACAGCATCCCTGCGTCTGTTTGCCTGATTTCAAAACACCTGATTGGGTAAAGCCTTACCTGTCTGAAGTGAAGTTTATTGATTAACAATGCAATCTCAGCGTGATATCCCACTCCCACACGTCTGCTTGGACTGAATGATGCATACAGTGCAACTAATGATGACTAATACGGACTATGAAGCATAATGCTGGCATTATTTTAGTTTGTCATTATTTATTAATCTATTATCTCCAGCTGCTTATCCTGTGCAGAGTCACTGGGGGCTAGAGCCTATCCCATAATACATTGGACAAGAGGCGAGGTCCACCCCTTGAACATGTCAACAGACAACTGCACACCGGAAACCCAAGCAGGCAGACCTGAAATTAAACCCGGAGGGGACCCTTATAACCCCCTGTCTGTGTATCTATGAATTAGTGATCACTCAGTTTGTGGTTACCATGATAATGAAGTAATTCACCACAGCTTTATTTTCGTTAAATCCACTATATAAGCAAATAGACCCTTAAAGTAGAAGAGTGTACACTCAGTAGAGTCCAGATCTCCTCCAGGTGTGTCTGAGGGCATGTGGGTGGGGAGTGCAGGGCAGGTTGTGTGTCCAGCATGTAAGAATGAGAGTAATGCATTATTAAGGAGTAGACGGACAATATGGAGACACACCTTGGACACAGTGTAAATAAAGCTTTACTTACTTACAGTGTCCACATAAAGCAGATAGTATTAATGCTTTGCTTGCCATGTTTGAAGAAGACAGTGGTTGTACTTGTATGGAGTTGAATATGCTGCTGCTGCTGCTGTAGCGAGTGAATTTCCCCAGTGTGGGATCAATATAGTCTATTTTATCTTTACACGAAACAGATTTAATTGGCTTTGCAGATGCTCCGGCTCAAGATGAGACCAAACTTTTCTATGATTGTCAATTTTTCAGCCAGGACAAAGATCGATTTAACTTGATTAAAGTACTCTGTGGTACCGACGTAATTCTGAGTTTGGTACCTAAACCCCTAATTAAAGTTACAGTGATTTTGTGGAAAATTTACAGAAACATTCAGTGAACATTGCCCTGTCACGTTGGCCAAAAAGTGGCCCAGTGGGAATCTCTGAGATAAGTTAAGCAACAATTCATTTCAGCAGCTGGCTGACATTATTGAATGTTTCTAAACTACCGCAACTCTCTCAACAGGAACAATTTCAAAACACTAGCGGTGTAAAATATCAATTTCAAGGTGAAAATTAAAAAGAGAAAGAGAAATTACTCAGTCAACACTGACATAACCGTCATTAATGAAAAAATTAAAACTGAAGCAGTTGTTGATTACTTGCCATAACTGGGTGCTTAAGACGAGTGATGAGTCAACAGTCAATGGTTCTACGGCGCCATAGTTTCTCCTACACATTTCACAGTCCGTTCTCAGTCCCAGGTTGTCAAATATGGTTTTCACTTGACCTGAACTGACTTGAAAAATGTGTTACTCGGGGGGCCCCTCGACAAGATTAGGTAATAATTCAGGCTGGCCCTTGTCATTTCTGTTCTATAAATTGATTTTTAGGTGCATACAGTACAAAACAGCAGTTAATTAAATAACTACAAATTAAAGACCACACACAATAAAGCTTGATAGTGTGTCGCCGTCCTCGTTCTGGCCCTCGGCAGGACTTTTGAGGTTGATGTAAGTGCGTCGCTTAAAATTTATGCATGACTGATGTTTTCATACCTGGTAAATTAATTAAATTACTACAAATTGATGGCCACACAATGAAGCTAGAATCTGTTGCCTGGTTGATAATGAAGTCTGGCATTATACATTAGCTATATCATGTGCACCTACACAGATAATACTTGTTCTTCTTGTTTGTTCAAGCAAACTGTTTTAATTTAAAACAGATAAAAAAACAATGCCATCCATTTATCGGCTAGAATCACCTCATAAATTGTTACTTCAGAAAATAATTAGATATTAGGCAGAAAATCAAGGCTCGATGACGACAACAATGTTGAGATGCAACGTGCCACCCTGGTCTTTTCAGCAGACAGATATTTCATGCTCTGCGTTAAGAATTGTATTTAATGAGCTCATTAAAAACCTCACAGATGTGTCGCTGGCCTGCCACACCCTTGCACTGCTGTGTATGTGGGCGTACCCTTCGTGCCACTTAGAAGCGAAGTCAACTGATTTTTCGGTGCCACCCGCTGTCCTTGAGAGCCGTGGCGATTAGCCACTACTGGAAGGTCACAGGATTGATTCTTGCAGTAGCCGATACGTCTGTCTGTCTGTGCTGAAGTGTTTTTTATCTTGTTAGTGAAGCACTGTGTACTTAAAGGACAACTCTTTGGCCTTAAGGGAAATGCATCTATAGGTATTCATGTTATTTGCAGCAACCAAGTGATCTACAAACTCCTTTCTTAATCTTAATTCAACTCACACCCTCACCCAGAAAATTTTACATCAATTGTTCTACACACAGCCAGCGTCTAGCTTGCCTGAAAACATTTTAGGAAATATAACCTTATCTCACATTTGTTATCGATAATTAATTCAGATCTGGCTGAGCTCAAGGGCTAAATAAATAAACAATTCATTCAGCGGCAGAAGCTGAAACAACACTCATGTCACGCACCAGTATTCAGTAAATACCATCTGATTATTCCACACCACAAGCTAATGAAAGCTCTGCAAGCAGCTCACATGGGATATAATAACATTTGCATATAAATTTAATGGTTTGTTTTAGTCTCGTTAGATGCAGTTGGATGTGTAATCCCTCAAGAGTGTAAGAAAGGCAATAATAAATACCTGGCATGGAATATATTTTTCTGTCATATGTAAGCAATATATTCTGTAAAAACAGGACATTTATGTATAAAAACATTATTATTAGTCTAAATATGATAATACGGGTATTTCACCTATAAAACGAAGTTCAATAATTTGCATAGGTGTGAGTAACAGGAGTTTCTAACAATGGGCTGGTGTGGCTTCATCGTCATCAATGGAGCAGCTGGTAACTGTTTAACCCACCAGAGGTGTGATCAATTCTGCAAGACAGAGAAGTGAAGTGAGCCAAAGATCCATAAAAAATAATCAGACAGGTGATGAGGTCAAAGTAGGATTTATGAATTCCCCTTTACAACCCTGTAAAACCCCATCACTACTCATTAACCCGTGAGAAAAACTTTGCTCCCATTTGTAGCGCCTCTGGTCACATGACCGCCAGGCTGCAGGACAGAACTGTTTAAAAGGAGGCTTTTGGACGGAGGGAAGGCAGACACTGAGCTGAGCACCTGCTGAGCACATCAACCAAAAGAGACAAAGACACTGCAGGACAAACTGTCAACTGTCACTATGAAGGCCGCCCTCGCCACCATCGCTGTCCTCATCCTGGCCCTCGGCTGGACCTCTGAGGCTGTGCAAGTTGAAGTAAGTGCATCATTCAACATTTATGCATGACTGATGTTTTCATGATGGGACTACCTGGCCGGAGATTACTCATTAGAGTCAGAAAGTCAGAAATGACACAACTACTGTGCAAACTTTTCTATCATTGTCACAATATTTTAACTAATGCTACATTAGCGAACAGGGCCTTTGCTTAAGTTGCAGTCCTTTAATGCCAACATCTTTTTTTTTCTTCCAGGAGAATGGATTGTCTTTCTCGTTGGAAGCCGTCAAGAGGCTTCAGGAGCTGACGGAGATCAGCCATGCATCAGGACAACAAAGCCCACGACTCAGGGCGGGCACCATGTCCCTGTGTGCCGACCCCATGCTCCCCCAGGAGTTCCTGCCCCTCTGTAAGCAGAGAGGAGCATCTGCGTCCCTCAGCAGACTGGGTGAGACAAATATATATACAATGAACTTTAAGTGAACATGTCAGGTTATGGATAGGTGGTGATTCAACAGTGTATCTGATGTTTGTCTTTCATGTCTTTTTTCCAGCTATGGTTCCCATGGACGTCTGTGATATCTGCGCCTTCGCTGCCTGCACTGGCTGCTAAACAATCCACCAAACCAGAAATATTTTTCTCAGCTTAAGACTTGTGATTTTTTTTCCTCCCCCTCAAAACTATTTCAGGGAATCTCTAAAATGTGTGTCTACAATGACTTTATGTTCCCTGAATACAAAGATTCTCACTTACTCACGCGACATTTTTAAGTCGCTGTTTAGACAAAAAGCCCCCAAAAAGAAAGAAAAATCAGACTGAGGTTTGTTTTTTTTGTAAACTGTTACTGTAGCCTATTTACTACTATATATTTTTCTGCTGACAGTTCTTTATCGAAATTTATATTGTTTGTTACATTTATATCTTGCCAAGCTTTAAAAGCATATTTAAAAGAAAAGATTCTTTTTTTTCATTTTTCTTCTTTTTTATTGACATCGTTTTGAATAAAAAGCCTTCATCGACAGATCTTGTGTACATTGTGCTCTTTCCTGCAAACACTTTATTACTATTATTACTATATCTATTAGTATATGCAGATCATTTGTGGAAAAGGTCTCGTTTTAAAAATACACTTAAAGCTGCCTTAATGGATTTTGGGCCAATATGGGGTAGAAAGCACAAGGCCACCATTATATCTCCAGCTTTGGAGTTGTGCCTGTGGTCACCTGATGAATGTAAGTCAGTATTTACTGTCCTTTTAGCTCTGTTTTGGTCTCCTGAAAACATAGAGTATCTGGGTTTTTAGAGACAAGATGCTCAACTTTTCATGAGCTAGTCGCCAGTCTACTGTAGTTTGTTGTTTTCAGTTTCTATACATAGTGGGCTTTGAAATAATAGTTTATTTATTTTGTTAATTTTATGTTTTTGCAATAGAACTTAATTCAACTTTCACAGATTTGTATGAGGAATGAATACAATTTATATGAAGTCCACAAACTATAAACACTCTATTACAGGTGGTTAAAATTGCGCTGTATGCTGTGTAAGAGTGCATCACAGATACTTATGCACTGTCTTTACTGCCCTTCAAGTTATGACTGAAATTTAACTTTTAACAACAGAGATTTGATTGGCATTTATTTTATTATAAGACAAGAATCAAATTGTAAAAACAGGTTTAAATAAATGTAACAATTAAAACATGTCTGTTAACTTAACAAATGAAATACCTCAAAATAATATTGGAGGATTGCTTGATGCTTTTCTTAATTACTCGTCTATTTCACCTTTTTAAAAATGCAAACAATAATAAATACAGGTTCAAGGTAATATGAAATAAAATCAGTGTTGGAGTTTCTCAGACTGTAGTTACTGCACTCTGACTATATATCTGTTTATGGTAATATGAAGACAGAGTGCATTATCTGCGTTTTGGGGGCCACAGGTTATCTGCTTAAGTATCCTTCATTTCAGCTTTAAAGATATATCCATGGTTGGTGTTGTGAATAATTTATTTTATGCAGCTTATGTGACCCACCTAAGCTACCTCATTATACAGCTACTGTATACTGTCAGTCCAGCCCCCAGTGGACCAGCTCAGAAACCTGTAATATTCTCACGTCCTTCATGCCTAAAGGCATTAATGTAATGATGGGTGTATACTGTATATCTGAGGTGTGACTGCCATACAGTCGGTGTATATAGCACATGCTGTACAGTACAGTATGAATGTGCAGCAATGCTAACAAGGCAAATTCTGCTACTGTTTTTATTGTTGTTTATTGTTATTGTTGCTTTATAGAGAAAATAAAAATTAACTTCACAACAAAAAAGACACACTTTTACACTATGAAAAATTAGAATATGTTTAAATTTGACCATTATCTCTCCTTCAGATTTCTATCCTGGCAGTGTGGAGGAGGGACTAGGGAGATAAAAGTCCTTAAAATATTATAATATATGAATATATATTATATGAACAAGTGAATAAATCTATGTAAGAAATAGGAAATGTCATGAAATACAGACCTTTATCGGTGGTTTGTCAAAGATGTTGAAGACAATTTCCTCTCAGTTCTGGATTATAAGGTTTTTATACATCGACATGCTGCCGCCTCCACTCTGATGCTCCTGAAATCAGTTTTTCACTCAGGTTCAATACAGGTGATACAATAATTACACTCCATGCACTACACACTATTCTATATGATAAAGTAATTTGGCCTTCCCTGCCTTAGTGACATAATAACCACAATTTTTCGACAAAGCCCTTGTTAGTAAATTATCATATAATTAAGTGATGCTTCAGGGGCCACAAACCAGAACTGATCTAAGAACTGCCTTTGTTGTTAGTGCAGCGGATTCATTGAATCAATTACAATGTCACCTCCAAATTAAAACCCTCTGATTGCTTTCACTGAGCCTGTACTACTGTCAGTTTCCTGTTTTATTAATTGACTCTGTTGAAAAAGGTATGAACTTATTACTGAAGAAACCATACTCGCATGCATTTTAAAACAAACCAGTACATACGTTCTTTATTAAGCAGAGGTACTGATACTAAAAAAAGACTCCGGTAAAAGTATTGATTCAACTTCTCTACGTACAAATACAAGTGAAAAAGTACAGGCTCTGAAATGTACTTCAAAGTATAAAAGTAAAAAGAACTATCTTGGTTTCTCTGAAGGACATTTCTACCAGCTGTTTCTGTGCAAAGCTGAAGAAGTCTCCCTCTCTCCCTCTCTTTTCTCGTCATGTTACGTCTGCCACGCGTGATATGCACTGGTCTTGATGTTGGGAAGGCGTCCAATGATGCAACTAATAATAATAATAATTAATAATTCCCCTCAAATGCAATAAAACAGGCCTGTTTTGAAAATGTAAGGAGTATAAAGTACAGATATTTGTGTAACTAGGGAGTAAAAATAAAAAGTTATACTCAAGTACAGATACATAACAAACTACTTAAGTACTGTAACTTTTTTGTACCTAATTACTTCCCACTTCTGAATTAAACACACATACATAATGGAAACTCATGTTTAATGTTTTACTAAATCTTAAAAAAGAAAGCAAACAAATATAGCATCTATACTTTTAGACTTTAGGTTGGTTAGTGTTGCCTTTGTTCAAAAGTCTTGTGAACTATGCAAAGAATTGTAACAACTCCCATTAATAACATTTTCTTATTCTTTCTGATTTAGTTTTTACTTGCTATTTATTACATAACAGGATTACTCACCCTTCAAGTTGATTGCTGCATACTTGGAAAGTTTAGGAGTGTTTTCTACCATTCATCTTATCTATCTTCGTATCTTTCTTATCCACAGTTCTTAAGTTACATATATCTCCGAGCATCATCAAATTATGTTCCATTCACAATCCATTTGAATAAAGATATAATTAATCTTTCTGAAGATCCACTGTGCAAATTATCTTTGATCTAGTTTCAGGTCTGTGAATTCTGTCACACTGAAGAGAGCTGAAACTTATATCTGCTTGCAGGATTATTTACGTATTTTGTATGCCAGAAGCCACAGTGGACCTTTCCAATATATTTATGTCCTGCACATTCTTTACATGTTATTGTCTACTTTGAGATCTGCACTGGTCTTAATAGTGCTCTTATCCTCGTAAGTTTAACTTCTATGTTACATCACTCATTGTCTAGGAGACATAGGACATTTCTGTGTCTTCTTTTCAAAGATAAGATCAATTTAGAGTATCTTTATGAACTTAAAGCTTCACTGTGATTACGTGTTTAAATGCCCTCTTCCGCCTAGTTAAGAGTTATATAATGCATATTTGAATGAAAATCAATGAAAATCTTTATTGATTTGTCAAACAATACTGAGGCTATTTACTTTATGGTTTTTTATTAACAGGTTTTTTTAAATAGGTTTTTTTTTGGCAATGTTATCTCTAATAGTGGATGAGTATGTGAAGGCATAGATACACATTTCTAGATTCCTATATACGTTTTGGTGATGGCTACCGGTAAATGTTTGCATGCAACACCACCGTCAGTCTGAAACAGTCTATTTTATCTCCTGTTTCTCTGTAGACAGTTTGGCCCAAAATACAAAGTCTGTCCCAAAGTTCTAAAAAAGAAAATAAACAAAGAAAGTCAAAGCCTTGATTCCTTCTTTTAACTGAACTAAAAAAGTAAAACTTACCAAACTAGGTCAATTTTTGTGACGATGTGACTTCTGAAACAATGTTCACACAGTCAGCCTACAATTCATCATTAGGAGCTCACTGATCTGCTGTCAGACTTTGGGAAAGAGCTGCTGCTTCTCACCAAAGCTGACATAAGCATCAAACTTCTGATACCTAAATGTTTCAGCTATTCAAGTTTTATGGGGGAGAAAACATTTTGCATTGAGTTTTTTCTGACTGCGTCAACAAACACACGAAAAAAGCTGCCATATTGCATCTGGACAACGTCATAATTTGCAAATATCACAGCCCTTAAAACAAGTGACCTATATGGATCAGCTCTGTACCTATATGGCTGCTTCCTTATCAGACAGCTCTGTGACAAATATCTGTGGGAGAGGGACAAGGGATGAGATTTATTAGATGGCACTGAGGCATCGGATTAAAACCCAAAGTCAATAATGAAATATTGTGCTGACGGAGGAAACAACAGAGATAGAGGTTATAAACAAAATGGGTAGTGGTAATAAACTAAAAAAGAGGATCCAATCCACTTACAGTACGGCCAGCCTTTGGTTATCTTTGACTGCCCCACACCTTTACTCTCCTCACCCTGCCTGTTTTCTTTGTTAATAAATCACTCACTAATCTGTCCAGACACCCTATAAGAGGCCGAGCAGCTCTACAGCAACCACAGAAGAAGCACTCCTCTAAACTGTGAAGCATCTAGCATCGTCTGAAAATGAGAGTCCAGAGTGTTGTCCTTGTGTTGGTGCTGTGTGTGTGCAGGGGAGCTGTAGGCGTCCAGGTTGAGGTGAGTATCACTTGTTCTGGAAATGCTGTTTATCTTATCGATCAGGGCTTTTGGTTTTGTTTGTTTCTTTTCACTCTGTTTTTTATTTTTTATTTTTAATACATCTTTGAAGAAATTAGTATTTGACACTTTTTGGGAGAAAATCCAGATGTTGTCAAGCCTGTTTAAGGATGTTTCACCTCCTCTAATGCATTTCAGCAACAATTACGCAGTCAAGTCATGCTGTCTCTATCCTGTAAGGCAACAAGTTTGAGAATATATTGAGCTAATTTAAGCCCATGCACCTCTTGCCATTCCCATTACAAGACCTGTTCAGCATGCTCTCTTTCTAAATCCAAAGCACCTGCACTTGGAAGGTTTTAATTGTGCACGATTTTTCTCTCTTCTTCTTCCTTCTCCTGCAGGTTGGAGACAGGAGCTTCCCCTTGGAGACGGTGCAGCAGCTGATGGAGCTGATGGATGTAGACGACAGCGTTAGCCCTCACCTGGCCGAGACGAGTGTGGTAGCTGTTTGCGCCGACCCCCTCCTGCCGCAGATCTTTCTGCCAGTGTGTCAAGGGAAGGGAACCGGCCTCGTTTTCTCCAGACTAAGTAAGAGAAACAAATGACAAAAGTGTAAATCATAGACATGGAATATAAGACATCAGAATGCTTAATCACAATAATAAATAATACTACAGGATCGCAGCAAGATTGGTTAATCAAGGCTTTAGTCTTCACAATGTTGGGGACAATTCAGCCATGGATTAATACACATTTAGTGCAATAGTGGGTATTTACAACACAGTGTAATGTGTGACTGATTTAAAATAAATAGTTGCCATGTTCATTATAATGAAGGACACATAATGGATGTAGTAATTGGACAACAATGGAGCTCTATGGCACCGAGGAATGTTAGGCTTTGGCTACACTGGAAATATGTGTGTGAATCAATTGCTAGTTGTGGTGTTTTAATGGGATTTGTTGACAGTGATAAAATATAGTATCAATATCATTAAACATTTTGTTTAACTAAGAAGCTGCACTAGCCGGTCAGCTTAGCACTTTAATCCTTACACACATGAGTCTAACCAATGTTCTCATCCAACGCTCTCAAGTGAATAAGACAATTTCCCCAAAATGTCAAAGTAGTCCTTAAATAATCGATCTGCTCTACTACTTTTTATTTTGCTATTTATTTTAAAAACTACCTGTTCAGAGAGCGTCAATGTCAACATTTGGATTTTGTCCAATTCATACGGGGAACAGCCACACACAGGCTCTTATAAACGCTGTTTAATTAACAGTTTTATTACTAAAGCATTCACTCTCTCTCTCCAGGACTCGAGATTAAAGTCAGGGACAACAGATGTAGGCTCACTCAAGAGTTCACTGTTTACATATCGTATTATGCACATCCTGCAACTACTGCAGCATAAAGTGGCTCTGTAATGATAATGCCATACAAGAGGCCGCTGGAAAGCTGTGCAAATAGTCTTTGGAGACCATTAAAGCTCATTAGACACAGACGACACCCTTGTTGCTGTATTGAGACGGATATGTATACGAATCCCATTATCAGTATTAGCTACAAGATAGAATTATTTTTCATGAAACTGAAAAGCTGGCCCTTGGGTGGTACAAAAACATCTTTTAGGTCAAATTAATATTTATGTTTCTTTTTTTTCTTCTTGCACTTTACAGTGAATATCATCACGTCTTCGGATCCTTGTGAAATATGTGCCAACCCCTCCTGCTATGGGTGTCTGGACTGAAGCTGCCATCTGCTAGACATACAAACACATCGACGGAGAGCCTCCAGGGGCATCATCTTCTATAGTTCTTCCACATTTCTATGTATAAGGCATCCGTGGACGTCGCCCAAAACACATCCTGTCACCCAGCAACCAAGCCCAACAGGTCTCGTGGATTTTAAGACATACATAAAATCCACTGAGTCAACATTTTTAGAAGTTTGCGTACATGTTTGGTACTTAGTCCCTTGTCAGT